GCCCCCCACGGCTAACTGAGCCCGACCCCTCGCCCGGGGTCAACAGTTCGAGGCTTCCACAACAACGTCTTTAGTTCGGCAATGACGGACGCGGCCACCAGCGCAACGCCGGTTTGCCTGAGCCGTGATGCATTCTACACCAAAGGGTCCCCCCCCACTACTCACTCACCCACCCCACCCCCCACTCACCCCCCACCCCCCCACCCATCCCCCCACTTATCCCCCCCACCCACCTCCCCACTTATCCCCCCACCCACCCACCTACCCGCCTACCCACCCACCCCCCCACCACTCACCCCCCACCCATCCCCCCCACTTAACCCCACACCCACACCCCCACTTATCCCTCCACCCACCTACCCGCCTAACCACCTACTCCCCTACCCACCTACCCCCCCACCCACCCACTCACCCAGCCCCCCACTCACCCCCCCCACTCACCCCTCACCACCCCCTAGGCCGCTTTAGCCCTAGGGAGTGGCTGTGGCCTGTAAATCCGCTCACGGGCAACACCCCCCCCCCCCCCCCCCCTTCACAAATGGGGCTCTCCCCCAAGTAATAAAATAAAAAATATATGAAAAATAATAATTGCGTTTGTAGGCGGGTGTTGTTGCTACGTCTAGAAGCCCTCGCGCCGAGAGATCCCTCGAGCGGATTCCCCTTCTGCCGGCAGTGGGGTGACCAAGAAACTGCAGGGCTGCGCCTTTAGCTGAGCGAGTCGATGGGTCTCTGTGCGAGTCCATGGGTCTCTGTGCGAGTCTATGGGTCTCTGTGCGAGTCTATGGGTCTCTGTGAGAGTCTACGGGTCTCTGTGCGAGTCTATGGGTCTCTGTGCGAGTCTATGGGTCTCTATGTGAGTCTATGGGTCTCTGTGTGAGTCTTTGGGTCTTTGTGCGAGTCCATGGGTCTTTGTTCGAGTCCATGGGTTTCTGTGCGAGTCTATGGGTCTCTGTGCAATTCTATGGGTCTCTGTGCGAGTCTATGGGTCTCTGTGCGAGTCTATGGGTCTCTGTGCGAGTCCATGGGTCTCTGAGCGAGTCTATGGGTCTCTGTGCGAGTCTATGGGTCTCTGTGCGAGTCTATGGGTTTCTGTGTGAGTCTATGGGTTTCTGTGCGAGTCTATGGGTTTCTGTGCGAGTCTATGGGTCTCTGTGCGAGTCCATGGGTCTCTGTGTGAGTCTATGAGTCTCTGTGTATATCTATTGGTCTCTGTGTGAGTCTATGGGTCTCTGTGCGAGTCCATGGGTCTCTGTGCGAGTCTATGGGTCTCTGTGCGAGTCTATGGGTTTCTGTATGAGCCTATCGGTCTCTGTGCGAGCCCATGGGTCTCTGTGCGAGTCTATGGGTTTCTGTGCGAGTCTACGGGTCTCTGCGCGAGTCTATGGGTCTTTGTGCGAGTCCATGGGTCTCTGTGCGAGTCTATGGGTCTCTGTGCGAGTCTATGGGTCTCTGTGCGAGTCTATGGGTTTCTGTGTGAGTCTATGGGTCTCTGTGCGAGTCTATGGGTCTCTGTGTATATATTTTGATCTCTGTGTGAGTCTATGGGTCTTTGTGCGAGTCCATGGGTCTCTGTGCGAGTCTATGGGCCTCTGTGCGAGTCTATGGGTTTCTGTGTGAGTCTATGGGTCTCTGTGCGAGTCTATGGGTTTCTGTGCGAGTCTATGGGTCTCTGTGCGAGTCTATGGGTTTCTGTGCGAGTCTATGGGTCTCTGTGTGAGTCTATGAGTCTCTGTGTATATCTATTCGTCTCTGTGTTAGTCTATGGGTCTCTGTGCGAGTCTATGGGTCTCTGTGCGAGTCTATGGGTCTCTGTGCGAGTCTATGGGTCTCTGTGTGAGTCTATGGGTCTCTGTGTGAGCCTATGGGTCTCTGTTTGAGTCTATGGGTCTCTGTGAGAGTCTATGGGTCTCTGTGAACGTCTATGGGTCTCTGTGTGAGTCTATGGGTCTCTGTGCGAGTGATCCGTAACAGGGCTGAGGCCATCATCTCACTATGCTTGAGACCCCCCCCCCCCCCCGGTGTAATCGCTGTGGCCTGGCAGCCGGGACCCGGATCGGGACTCAGGTTATCTGACCTCTGAGGCTCTGACCTCCGAGCATCTGACCTCGGAGCCACCCGGGCCGCCTCTTAATAGTGTCCCAGTTCGGGTGCCCTCACAATAGGGACAGTGATTGAATGAACCGAGAGGCTCTGACCCCGACAGGAGCTGTGCAAATGTAATGGGCGTGCACAAAGACAAAGGTCACCCGCGTAGCCCGCACGGGCTGTTGGAGCAAGTGCTGTTCGCGAGCGCCTCTGTCAAGAGCGCTGCTCGGCGGCTGGCTCGGAGCAGGGATCATTATCGGCGTGAGGCACAACCACCAAAGACAGAGATCGCCCCCCATATAGCCTGTAACTGCTCTACCACTAGATTACAAAGTGATAAATCTGCGAATGTTGTAGGATTCACTCGACCACTTCAGGCCTCCCCGTGCGCTGTGTGGTAGGACCACGCCCCCCCCCAAAAAAAAAACCGTTCCCTCTCTCCCTCTCTCTCTCTTCAAGGCCACACGGCACGTTTTCCCGGTATCACCGTAACCCGGCAGCAATCGTCCAAATCCCGCGCGGATTAAAAAAAAAATGAGCGGAGCGAGGGCAGAATCCAGGCCAGCGCGATGGACGTGGGAGCTCCGGGATGAATTCCTGGGAACGGCGCTCCGAGTCATTCCTTCCGAAAGCAAATCACTCGGGATTCACCGCAAACTTCACACGGCGGCTCTCTCCCCACGCCCGCACGGAATTAAAAAAAAAACCGTAAACAATATTTTCATTTTGCCAGGTGTAAGGCCACGCTGAGCTACAGGGATCGTTTTTTTTTTCTTTCAAAAGCGACACTGGCCATCGCAAGTGATAGCTCGACAAAGTGACGTCGATTCCTAAAATGTGAAGGGGAAAATAAATCAGAGGACCCAGGGAAAACTCCCCAACCCGACCACGGAGAGATACAGAGATGGAGAGAGAGAGAGAGAAGATGCAAACAAATAAACAGCAGGCGTCAGGGTCGGGGTAGAACCCACGACCTTCTGTATAGAAGGCGAGGTAGTTAACATCTCCTAACTACCGCGGCGACCCTCCCCCCCCCCAGCAGCGATGCGACCCCAATGACCGCTGCCTCACCACAGCGGGTTCGCGGTTGGAATCCGGCACGCCGGCCCGGCTAGCGCTCCGGTGGCGTTAGCCGCTCCTCGGCTACAGCCAACTCCCTTCCTCTTGCCGGTGGCTCCGCCGCATCGTTGCGGCGCTCTCAGGTGCGCTTACGCGGCGGCCGTCTGGAACGCTCTCCCCCCTTCCGATATCGGCAGCTGGGGCACTTTTAAATCATCTCGATTTGACAAATCTCATTTGCTTTGGAACTGCTCTTCGTGTTTGGTTTTGTTTTTCTTTCACCGGCACCTCCGATTAGGTACGGTGCGAAAGAAGTTCAACGTACGTGCATACACACCACACCACTATATACCACACCACTATATACCACACCACTATATACCACACTACTATATACCACACCACTATATACCACACCACTATATACCACACCACTATATACCACACCACTATATACCACACTACTATACAATACACGATACATTACACGACTACACACTACACTGCTATTCCATGCACCGCTATACTACTGAACACTACACCAATCCACACACTACACCACTATACAACATTGAGAACACATTCCTGTAGAACTGCTTCTTGTTGTTGTTGTGCTCGGTTTGTTGTCCTTTCCCCCGCACCTCCGATTAGTGCGCATGGCTCCGGAACGGCGCGAAAAAAGTTCAACGTTCGTCCGTGCGGATGCACCCTGCGAGCGTGAGAAGGCGGGGGCGACCCTAAGCCAGACTGACGTCTCTCGTTTCCGCCGTCGGGAGCCACCGAGTGGATTTTGTCCTGGAGGGATTTGATTTGCGGCGCCGTCGTGGTCACGGAGCTGCCACGCGGAGTCGACCCCCCCCCACCCCCAGGAGCTTGATGAGCGCGGCAGCGGAGTTCCTCTCTCCCAGCCCTAGCTCATCGCTCCTGCGTCACCCATTCCCTTCCTCTCCCTCCCCTCGCCCCTCCATTCCGTCCCGTCCCTCCCCCGTAGCCCCTCCGTGAACGGTCAGAGGGCACGCTTTCTGAGAACCCCTGTCGCAGCGTAGCGCCTGGAGCTGCCAAGGCCCAGCTCCGTGCGAACGTCAAAAATGAGATTCGCCGTGGCAACGCCGCCGCCGCCGCCAAAACCCTCGTGGGCCACCGCCCCGCACACCTCTCGCTCACGGGGCGGACCGCTCGAGATTCCCCCGGCGGCGCCGAGCTCGCTGTCCCTTCCGCCCAGCGACCCCGACGAGCGTGGTTTCCGCTACGCGCGGTGACGAGGAAGTTCAACGCGCACGAAGAGGCACCCGACTCAACGACAAGGGGGGGGGGGGGAATCACGCGTGGGCGACCATTGCCCCGCCGCCCACCCCCCCGCCCTCACGAACAACCTTCTGAAGCTTCCCCCTGGATAAACAAGCGGGCCACTGACACAGTCCCTATGATCACTGTTACATTGCATTTATGGCTTTATTTTGGTGATTTCGAAAACGTTTTTTTGGTTTGGCCATGTTTTTGTTTATTGTAGTACGGAGTTAGACTGATGGCCTTAATCTTAGTTGTCTTGGGGTTGTTGTTGGTATTTTGACTTGCATCCCACTGGGATTTTTGCACACAGCGTTGGTGTACGGTGCTATTTCAGGAATATTTTGATGGGTTTTTTTGTTCCTGGATTTTCTGTTTGCACAGTCAACACATAGTCACTTTAAGATGTTTTTCTTGTTCATGTTTTTTTTTTGTTGCGGTTGCACCCGATTCAAGAGCCGAATGGCTCACGGGGCTATACCAAATAAATGGAACCGTGGAACTAAACAAGCAACAAACAACGGTGGCCATCGCGAGGGTGCGCGCCCGCGGCAGCTCGGAAAGGATATGGGTTGCACACTACCTTGAGGCACCAGCAGCGAGGCCGTGTGCTCTGCCGCAGGACGTAGAAGGCGATGGGAGCGAGCAACGGGTAGGGGAGGCCCTCCGTGGCCGAGCTTTTCCCGGCCTCCAAACCATCGCCGTCGCCTCCGTCGCCGCCACCGGCAGCTCCGCCACCGAGGGTGGCCGTGGAGGTGGCGCGGTTCGGCGCGGCCCTCCCCGCCGGGTCCCTGCCGCTCGCTCCCGCGTCGTAGAGGTGGACGAACGCGGTGGAGGAGGAGGAGGAGGAGGGGGGTAGTGGTGGTGGCGGTGGTGGTGGAAGCAGCGGACCGCCAGCGGTGGAGGCCGCGGGGGGGTGGGTGGCTGCGGGGGTAGCGGTGGACTCCCGCTGTAGCTGCTGCTGTGGTGGCTGCTGCGTGGAGTATGCGGCGGCTCTGCCGAAGGACGGGCGAGCAGCGGCGGCGGCGGCGGCGGTGGTGGGACGAGCGCCATCGTCCATGGCAGCGCCGCGCCGGTGTCCCCGGCTGACGGACGCACGGAAGTACGGGGCGGATTAACGGAGGGACGGGTGGAGAGAAAAGTGGATGGGCAGATCGGGTGAAGGGAGAGACAGAGAGAGAGACAGAGAGACAGACCGACAGAGAGACAGAGGGACAGAGAGACAGACCGACAGAGAGACAGACCAACAGAGAGACAGACCGATAGAGAGACAGAGAGACAGAGAGACAGAGGGACAGAAAGACAGACCAACAGAGAGACAGACCGACAGAGAGACAGACCGATAGAGAGACAGACCGACAGAGAGACAGACCGACAGAGACAGAAAGACAGACCGACAGAGAGACAGACCGACAGAGAGACAGACCGATAGAGAGACAGACCGACAGAGAGACAGACCGACAGAGACAGAGAGACAGACCGACAGAGAGACAGACCGACAGAGAGACAGACCGACAGAGAGACAGACCGACAGAGAGATAAAGGGACAGCGAGACAAAGAGACGGACGGGGGAGAGAAACAGATGGACAGAAGGGCACATGGATGAATGTAGAGATAGAGGGACAGACGGACGGCCAGACAGTTTTAATGCGAGCTCACTCTTGGTTATTACTGGGTTAGTAGGTTACATGGGTGGCAGATAAACCGTGCCTGCAAAAAGACGACCCTAGGAGGCACCCCCACGAGGCACCACCACGAGGCACACCACCACGAGGCACCACCACGAGGCACACCACCACGAGGCACACCCCCACGAGGCACCACCACGAGGCACACCACCACGAGGCACACCACGAGGCACCACCACCACGAGGCACACCACCACGAGGCACCCCCACGAGGCACACCACCACGAGGCACCCCCACGAGGCACACTACCACGAGGCACCCCCACGAGGCACACCACCACGAGGCACCCCCACGAGGCACACCACCACGAGGCACACCACGAGGCACACCACCACGAGGCACACCACCACGAGGCACACCACCACGAGGCACCCCCACGAGGCACCCCCCCGAGGCACACCACCACAAGGCACACCACCACGAGGCACCCCCACGAGGCACCCCCACGAGGCACCCCCACGAGGCACACCACCACAAGGCACACCACCACGAGGCACCCCCACGAGGCACCCCCACGAGGCACCCCCACGAGGCACCCCCACGAGGCACACCACCACGAGGCACACCACCACGAGGCACACCACCACGAGGCACCCCCACGAGGCACCACCACGAGGCACACCATCACGAGGCACCACCACGAGGCACACCACCACGAGGCACCACCACCACGAGGCACACCACCACGAGGCACACCACCACGAGGCACACCACCACGAGGCACACCCCCACAAGGCACACCCCCACGCACGCAAACTGCTTCAACCATCGGCTGCTCCACACTCCCCGAATGGGGGGGTGTGGGGTTAGTGATTCGAGTGGGAGCCACTGCAACCGCTACCACATTCTATTATTCACTACCACATTCTATTATTCACATCGCTGTTGCCCCCCTCCCTAACTGCCCCCCCCCCCCACCCCAAGAGTAAAAAGCTCCAGAGAGGCTCAAAGCAACACGCGCGGCACCGGCAAACTCGCGGCGGATACGCGTCCCCGGCACACGCGTTGAATTGAGAGCGGTGCTTGTTGTCGTCGTCAACGTTGTTGTTGTTGTCGTCAACGTTGTTGTTGTTGTCGTTAACGTTGTTGTTGTTGTCGTTAACGTTGTTGTTGTTGTTGTTGTCAACGTTGTTGTTGTTGTTGTCGTCAACGTTGTTGTTGTCGTCGTCAATGTTGTTGTTGTTGTCGTCAACGTTGTTGTTGTTGTCAACGTTGTTGTTGTTGTTGTCGTCAACGTTGTTGTTGTCGTCAACGTTGTTGTTGTCGTCGTCAATGTTGTTGTTGTTGTCGTCAACGTTGTTGTTGTTGTCAACGTTGTTGTTGTTGTTGTTGTCGTCAACGTTGTTGTTGTCGTCAACGTTGTTGTTGTTGTTGTTGTCAACGTTGTTGTTGTTGTCGTCAACGTTGTCGTCAACGTTGTTGTTGTCGTCGTCAACGTTGTTGTTGTCGTTAACGTTGTTGTTGTTGTTGTTGTCGTCAACGTTGTTGTTGTTGTCGTCAACGTTGTTGTTGTCGTCGTCAACGTTGTTGTTGTTGTTGTCGTCAACGTTGTTGTTGTTGTTGTTGTCGTCAACGTTGTTGTTGTTGTCGTCAACGTTGTCGTCAACGTTGTTGTTGTCAACGTTGTTGTTGTTGTTGTTGTCGTCAACGTTGTTGTTGTTGTCGTCAACGTTGTTGTTGTTGTTGTCGTCAACGTTGTCGTCAACGTTGTTGTTGTCAACGTTGTTGTTGTTGTTGTTGTCGTCAACGTTGTTGTTGTTGTCGTCAACGTTGTTGTTGTCGTCGTCAACGTTGTTGTTGTTGTTGTCAACGTTGTCGTCAACGTTGTTGTTGTCGTCGTCAACGTTGTTGTTGTCGTTAACGTTGTTGTTGTTGTCGTCAACGTTGTTGTTGTTGTTGTTGTCGTCGTCAACGTTGTTGTTGTTGTCGTCAACGTTGTTGTTGTTGTTGTTGTCGTCAACGTTGTTGTTGTTGTTGTCAACGTTGTTGTTGTTGTTGTCGTCAACGTTGTTGTTGTCGTCGTCAATGTTGTTGTTGTTGTCGTCAACGTTGTTGTTGTCAACGTTGTTGTTGTTGTTGTCGTCAACGTTGTTGTTGTCGTCAACGTTGTTGTTGTTGTTGTTGTCAACGTTGTTGTTGTTGTCGTCAACGTTGTCGTCAACGTTGTTGTTGTCGTCGTCAACGTTGTTGTTGTCGTTAACGTTGTTGTTGTTGTTGTCAACGTTGTTGTTGTTGTCGTCAACGTTGTTGTTGTCGTCGTCAACGTTGTTGTTGTTGTCGTCAACGTTGTTGTTGTTGTTGTCGTCAACGTTGTTGTTGTTGTCGTCAACGTTGTCGTCAACGTTGTTGTTGTCAACGTTGTTGTTGTTGTTGTCGTCAACGTTGTTGTTGTTGTCGTCAACGTTGTTGTTGTTGTCGTCAACGTTGTCGTCAACGTTGTTGTTGTCAACGTTGTTGTTGTTGTTGTCGTCAACGTTGTTGTTGTTGTCGTCAACGTTGTTGTTGTCGTCGTCAACGTTGTTGTTGTTGTTGTTGTCAACGTTGTCGTCAACGTTGTTGTTGTCGTCGTCAACGTTGTTGTTGTCGTTAACGTTGTTGTTGTTGTCGTCAACGTTGTTGTTGTTGTTGTTGTCGTCGTCAACGTTGTTGTTGTTGTCGTCAACGTTGTTGTTGTTGTTGTCGTCAACGTTGTTGTTGTTGTTGTCGTCAACGTTGTTGTCGTTGTTGTTGTTGTCGTCAACGTTGTTGTTGTTGTTGTCAACGTTGTTGTCGTTGTTGTCAATGTTGTTGTTGTTGTTGTCGTCAACGTTGTTGTTGTCGTCAACGTTGTCGTCAACGTTGTTGTTGTCAACGTTGTTGTTGTTGTTGTCGTCAACGTTGTTGTTGTTGTCGTCAACGTTGTTGTTGTCGTCAACGTTGTCGTCAACGTTGTTGTTGTCAACGTTGTTGTTGTTGTTGTCGTCAACGTTGTTGTTGTTGTCGTCAACGTTGTTGTTGTCGTCGTCAACGTTGTTGTTGTTGTCAACGTTGTCGTCAACGTTGTTGTTGTCGTCGTCAACGTTGTTGTTGTTGTCGTCAACGTTGTTGTTGTCGTTAACGTTGTTGTTGTTGTCGTCAACGTTGTTGTTGTCGTCGTCAACGTTGTTGTTGTCGTTAACGTTGTTGTTGTTGTCGTCAACGTTGTTGTTGTTGTTGTCGTCGTCAACGTTGTTGTTGTTGTCGTCAACGTTGTTGTTGTTGTTGTTGTCGTCAACGTTGTTGTTGTTGTTGTCGTCAACGTTGTTGTTGTTGTCAACGTTGTTGTCGTTGTTGTCAATGTTGTTGTTGTTGTTGTCGTCAACGTTGTTGTTGTTGTCAACGTTGTTGTCGTTGTTGTTGTTGTCAACGTTGTTGTTGTTGTCGTCAACGTTGTTGTTGTTGTCAACGTTGTTGTTGTTGTCGTCAACGTTGTTGTTGTTGTTGTTGTGAGAGCTCGGGGAGTGACGAGCGAGGCGACGGAAGGTGAGGAGAGAGAGCAGATCGAGAAGTGAGGTGACCTGCAGCGTGGCGAGCGAGCGGGTGGGTGAGCGGATAAATGGGTGGGTGAGTGGATACATAGGTGGGTGAGTGGATAAATGGGTGGGTGAGTGGATAAATGGGTGAGCGGATACATGGGTGGGTGAGCGGATAAATGGGTGGGTGAGTGGATAGATGGGTGAGTGGATACATAGGTGGGTGAGTGGATAAATGGGTGGGTGAGTGGATAAATGGGTGAGTGGATACATAGGTGGGTGAGTGGCTACATGGGTGGGTGAGCAGATAAATGGGTGGGTGAGCGGATAAATGGGTGGGTGAGCGGATAAATGGGTGAGTGAGTGGATAAATGGGTGGGTGAGTGGATAGACAGGTGAGTGGATACATAGGTGGGTGAGCGGATAAATGGGTGGGTGAGCGGATACATGGGTGAGTGAGCGTTTTGCGAACGAGTGCATGCGGGGGAGCGGCAGCGTAGTGGGTTAGCACGGCCGTGCAGCGAACCCAGCGTCCCCGGGTTCGAGTCCCGCTCGCGGCCCACCAACACCCAGTGATGGTCATCTGAACCGGGTCAAGGGCCTCTCCTGGGTCGACTTGACCTCAAATGAGTACCTGGTGCGGTGTGTGTAAACATCGCAACTGGGGAGACAAAGGCGGCCGGGCGTGGTGTTGCCCAGCCACCCCTTTGTGCGACGTGCCGGCCTTCATAGGTGCTGCTACTCGCTAACAGGACTTGTCCCAACAGTCAGTTACAGGCTATACGGGGGATCTTTGTCTTTGGTGGTTGTGCCTCACGCCGATAATGATCCCTGCTCCAAGCCAGCAGCCGAGCAGCGCTCTTGACAGAGGCGCTCGCGAACAGCACTTGCTCCAACAGCCCGT